GGGGGGGAAGAGAGAGAGAGAAGAAAAGCCAGAGCCAGAAGGTGTAGATAGCACACACACACACTTCAATCTGTGGGGAGAAAAACCTGAAGATTGAAGTGCAAGGGGTGACGTACATGGAACCATTTGGCACAAGCACAGGTAAGAAATGAATGAAAACTCGCATTTCCTGAGCATCTCCTCATCTCTCAGCCATCTAAAAAAAAAAAAAACCCTGAATCTTATAGAACACAAACAGCAAAATGTTACATGAGTTTCACCAGACCGTAAGGACCAGTGGTCCTGGATTACTGTCCTAGACCAGTGCCATTCTCACCACACCTGAGACGGCACCCACCCTCGTGTTAATGCCCTGCCAGCTCCCTGCCCAGGACAGTCCCTTTGCTTGCACCTCTGACAAATCCAGAACCCTTGTCTGTTTCTTACCTAGTTTTGTAACTTAGAAAGTTTCCAAAGGGGCTGTGGGGCAGAGAAAGCAAAGCAACCAGTTCAGTTGTTAACTGGTGCAAACCAGATGACCCCTGTCCAAATGACAGAACTAGCCTTAAAAGCTTGTTTTAGTATTATTTGTTTGTTTGAACTATCCATTATTGGTGAGGTTGGGGTTGGTTTTTTCCCTCCCCACGGACATATCTGAGATTGCTACGTCACTTTGAAAACTAGAAGCTTGATAAACAAAGTTAATTATGTCCTTGAAAAAGTCTCGCAAACAGATAGCTATGTGCATATTGCAGAGCATATATGCAGTGTCTGCTGCCCAGTGAAAAGGCTCTGATGCACAAACAAGTAGTGACTCACAGGGTGTCTTTGGTTTTGCTTCTGAGAAAGCAACCAAAACCTACCTTGTGCAGTAGGGCACAGAAGAATGTGGAGGTCTTGGGAGCAGCATGAGGGCAACCCTGTTACTACCACCACTGTCATAAGTGATGTCTCACTCGGCGAAGCAGTGTGGGAAGGGCATGCTGTCCCTCTTTTACTCACTAAATGCAAGGTTCAGATCCAAAGTTGTCAAGCCAATCTCCTCATGAGATCCCAACTCAGATTAAAACGTGACTGTAAGCAGTTGGAGAGTAAAGTCCAAATACCTCCAAAATGTTCCCAGAACCTAAGCAGGTAGCCAGATAGGGAACTAGGTAAGAATATCACTGCCAGGACTGAAATCTCTGAAGATTCCTTTAGCTCTGTAATGAAACATGTTCCACAAAGCAGCCTACTTTTCCCTGGTCTTGCACGCTGGCTGTGTCTGGGCTACCTTTCACACACAATCTGTCTGCAAACACTTGTCCTGCCTTCGACATTTTTCTTTACGTAGCAGAGAAACATTGCTTGTGCTCTTGATGATCACTCACGGAGAGAGGCTTTCTACACAAAAAGCCAGTTGATTATTAAGTTAAGGTGATTAAGAGAGGTAGCTTCTCCCCCTCCAACAATCAAACCAAAAAAATAAAAGCATGAATACTCAACACATCAACACAGAGATTAAACACAATTGTTTGTCCTAAAAACTGATCTCAAATGTTGCCAATTTCCACAAATGGGAGGTTCTCCATACTCCATGAGATACACTATAAACAACTCCCAAACCTGTTACAATTGGAAATTAAATACTAGAAACATGTTAGAAAACGCACAATACAAGCATATACTAGAAATTAAACCTGATGGAGACAGCTGGGCCTTTCTGTCCATGAAAGGTTATTATTCTCAGTATTTCTTTCACTACAGCTGCTACTTATCAAGTTTGACAATTTTAACATGACAGATAATTGTTACAGCAGTCTGCAATAAGTTTCTGTACTTGTATGTATATATATATCTATATATCTATATATCTATCTCTCAATACAAGAGACATAGACCTGTTGGAGTGGGTCCAGAGGAGGGCCACAAAAATTCATCTGAGGGCTGAAACACCTCTCCTATGGGGAAAGGCTGAGAGAGTTAGAGTTGTTCAGCCTGGAGAAGATTTTGGAGAGACTTTACTGCAGCCTTTCAGTAAAGAGAGCTTATAAGAAAGATAAGGACAGACTTTTTAGTAGGGCCTGTAGCAATAGGACAAGGGATGATGGATTTAAACTTAGAGGGTAGATTTAGACTAGATATAAGGAAGAATTTTTTTATTATGAAGGTGGTGAAACACTGGAACAGGTTGCTCAGAGAGGTGGTAGAAGCCCCATCCCAGGAAACATTCAAGGTCAGGTTGGACAGGGCTCTGAGCAACCTGATCTAGTATAAGAAAGATAAGGACAGACTTTTTAGTAGGGCCTGTAGCAATAGGACAAGGGATGATGGATTTAAACTTAGAGGGTAGATTTAGACTAGATATAAGGAAGAATTTTTTTATTATGAAGGTGGTGAAACACTGGAACAGGTTGCTCAGAGAGGGGGTAGGAGCCCCATCCCAGGAAACATTCAAGGTCAGGTTGGACAGGGCTCTGAGCAACCTGATCTAGCTAAAGATGTCCCCGCTTACTGCAGGGTGGTTGGACCAGATGACCTTTAATGGTCCCTTCCAACTCTAACCATTCTATGATTCTGTACGCATGTATACATGCTGTACAATACAGCTGCTATGTTGTGGCTTTGTTATACCCTCTTTTCAGAGCTGTTCTGTATTTTAGCAGAAAACCACTCCTGTTTAATGGATGATTTTGCAACCTACCATTAATTCATTAGAACACACTATCAACAAATAGTTTTCCACCTGCTCTTCACAGATTCCTGTGAGTATTCAGACTATTTTAAAGGGCTCATAAAATTTTGAGGAAAGCCAGACTACCTAAATGCTTAAATTCTCTGTAAAAAGGAATGGCTTTTTACTGAGAAAGGTTAGAGATCTGTAAATCAAGAAAGGCCAAAAAATTCTAACATGAAGTTCCAGATAAGAGAGTTCATCATACAGATTTGGGGGCAACTAACATATTTTAGCACATGTTTCTGCTGCACAGAGTAATGCAACTCCACTAGTGTTTATATTCATACATGCAAAAAAGCAAACACAGATTTAAAGAGCAGAGAAACAATTATCAACATCTGAAGTGCCTTCCGTATCATGTGAGGTACCAGGGCTTTGTTCTTGCATCTAACAGTGAGAAGTTCAACTTCTTTTGGTTTTGTTACGTTTCAGTGACACAACGGACTTTGGGAGCAGAGGAAGAATCCACTGCAACATGAGACTCACCTGCTGTCTGCTAATAATGGGAACATTCTGCGTGACACCTTTCCTCTGCCATAGCCAAACTGATCCACTAGCTCTTGGGCGAGCAGACCCCCAGTGTTGGGAATCCTCCTCAGCTGTCTTATTGGAGATGAGGAAGCCTCGCATTTCTGACTCCGTCAGTGGCTTTTGGGATTTCATGATCTTCTTGAAATCATCAGAGAACTTGAAACATGGGGCTCTGTTCTGGGACCTGGCACAACTCTTCTGGGATATCTATGTGGACTGTGTGCTCTCCAGAACCCACGGCCTAGGGAGAAGGCAGCTAGCAGAAGCTGAACAGAAGATCGCTACTCTACATTCTCAGTTCAAAGAGAGAAACCAAGGTTACTTCTCCTTTAATACATCTCATGGGCAATAACTAGAGTCCAGCATGAAAGAAAAAAGATACAGGCTTATTGTGTTATGTGATAATAGTAAAAAAACCAGAGGACAGTGCTGCACAACTGCCCACAACTCCCCTCAATTTCAGTACAGAGTTATGCTTATGTTCAAAGTAATCTCAGTAAAAATCTGACCTCCAAATAGCCTGAACTCTAATGACAGCTTCTAAGTTTCGGTTTGGTGGGGGAGAAGGGGCAGCAGAAAGTGAAACACAGGAGGATTCAAACAAAGAAAGCAGTTCAGCAACAGTACAAATGTATTCTTCCACACCAGCATTTTTACCGCTATTGTGCCATGGACAGGCTAGTTCTGAATTCATTCTGAGAAGCGTGTCACCCCAGGAGTGCATCACACTGGTGCTGCTGGGGAGATCAGCAGTCTTTCAGCAGAGTAAGGATATGTTTACTTGCCACCTAGTAGACAATTGCTTGATATTTCCTATTTCTATACCAGTAAGTGCCCTGCACACAATGGAAACAGATCTAGGACTCAGGTGCTTGCAGACTTTCAGATACAGATACAGCTTCAGGAGGAAGAACACTACCTATGACACCAAGTGGTGCAACTCCTAATCTCCAGGTTCCCAGCCCCAGAGCAGAATCCGCAGACTTAATGTAAGTGCCTCCGCATGCAGTAAGGTGAGAGCTGGCACCTCACAGCAGGATCTACAAAAGGTAGCAGATCACTTAGGCTCCTCTTTGCCAGCAGGAACACACAGCATAGCTTTTCCTATATCTCAGTCCCTTCCAAGGCTTCAGTTCCAATATTGCTACCAGCAGATGCATGCTTCCCTTGAGAACATCCACTTTCAGAAAGGGTCAGGAGCTACGATTTGATGGAGGGGCAGAAGTGCTGCAGCAATCACAAACAGTGTAGTTCATAGGTCCCACAGGGAGACGGTGGAACTGCCCTTCCACTTGAATGGATCCAGACCCTTACCTCCACTTCCTAGATCAGTGTCTTAGTAAGATATTTGCGGGGTATGTCCATGGAATAATGAAGAACCTCTTTGGGCAGTTACCCTTTAAAGAGTCTCTAAAAAATGAGACTTGAACTCAGGACTCTTCCACCCCAGGGACACTAAACCACTGGACAGTCCAGTTCTTGCCTGCAAACCTTAACATGAAAGATAGGATCTGATATAGAAAGGATCGAGAGGTCCTTACCCCCATTACCTACAGAGAGTGTCCTAGCCATTAAGCTAGGAGATGGGAGCTGTGTTTGAATGAATGCCCTCAGACTGAAGAACTACTCGCATACATAGGGTCAGTTTCTAAACTTTGAGCCAAACCACCACTACCTGCATTTTAAAAGCAAGGAGTGAATCCTATCCTGCTCTGCAAAGAATCCGAGCTATCACATGGCTCTGAGAAGATCTTTGCTGCATTGTGATACACTGATGGCAGACAGCACAGAACACCCCTCTTGAGCCCAAGTGGCCTTAGACATCACAAAGGCAGCAAGTTGCTCAGTCCTGACCAGACTGAAGCAGTTTTGGGTGCAAACAGAATGCAGCTTTAGACGCATGAGGCAGTAGTAACACTGAAAAATGAGATGCCCACCAGGCTAAAGCACCAGATGAATTTTTGGTTTTGGAATTGCAGCTTTCAATGTCACTGTCTAAATTATCCCTTAGCCTTTTGTTTACATCTGGCTCTTCACATCTATAGCACACTGTGATTTTCCTACAAAGGAATTTTTTCCTGTGATTTGTTCCTACATTGGTACAAAGACCTTTTGTTCCAGTCAAGATTAAGAGTAACAGCCTGAGGTATTTTGAAGAATCAAATTATGGGTTTTGTGATTAAGACTGACTTTTGTTTACTCCTATACAGAGAGATTTTAAGACACTAGTAAGTATTCACACTTTAAGATAAATTAGGATTTCTCCCCTTCTCTAGTCTTTTACCTCTTTGTTTTGTGAATTGAATCAGTTAATCTGATTTCTCTGTACAATTGATTAACATCAGTCAGTATCAGCCAGCTTATAGCAGTGACGGCAGAAATTTTATTTTTTGGAGGAGCTATTTAGTCTCTCATCCAAATCTTCCAGTTTCTTAACACAGCCAGCTCTTTTAATCTTTGTAACCCTTGACCCACCTGTCTTGTTTCATCAGTGAAACTAGAAATCAATTGTTAATAACTACAGATAGAAATCACATCCTCAAAAATTATGAGGAATAGAATCACTGCTTCTTATGTGTAAAGAGATATACAAGCCTGTTTTCTTAGCCTAAAGAGCAGAATGAATGGCATTTGAGTGACCTTATGTACTTCACATCTATGTGGGTGGGTATGAATAGCTTTCAATAGGCTTATTTTAGAAGTCAAACAATAAAATAACATATTTTGCTTTACTGTTACTTTTGCAACTGCTGATAACAGCTTTGTTGCTCCAAACTAACTTTTTTCATTTTATTCCTCTTAAATATTCACAATTTCCTTTTTTTTCCCCCTAATTGCAAACAGGATCATAAATCAGGAGCAATTGTAAGCTGCATTCACTGTAGTTCCTTAAACGTATAACTGAACTGGAAAAGCAAGACAGAGATCTGAACTTGGCACAAAAATGCTGATGTTAAGGTGTTATTATTCTAGTGTCAGATTTCAGAACTACAGGATAAATCCTATGAGGTCATTGTGAAAGATGAGTACCAGGAATTAAGCTTTTCTAAGAAAAAACAGAAAAGCCCTCCAAGCCAGAAAACTTATTGAAGTCCTTGGTAAAGCTTCTCAGAAGTACTGAACAGAATTACTCCATCACACCTAAAGAACACTTCCTTCCACAGCTTCCCATACTTTGCCCTCCTGGGAAACAAGTTTGTTTGGCAATGCACCAAGACAGTGGTAGAAGTAGCCCAGGCCCAGACTTATGGGTTCACTGTTTTCTGAACCAATCTAATCCTGCCAGACTCCTGATTGTAGTTACTACTAGGTCTGAGGAATACTATTCAAACTCTACACAACCCATGAAAAACACAGCAAAACCAGAACAGCTGTATATGAGTTATGTGATAAATTGACTCCATCCAGCAAACACCCTACTTAACCCAGCAACGATATGACTTCCCTAGATATGTTGTAGGGAACTGTTAGCTTTAAACTGAGAGAAGTAAGGAGAGTCCTTTACCAAGGACACCCAGCCAAGGTATCTTTAGCAACTCATCCTTTTCCACTAACAAAAGCCAAACACTGTGAAAACACAGCTTTCATAAAAACATTTCCAATATATTACAATATGTACTTAGATACATTATAGTTGTAGCAACTCTTAATGAGACAAAACAAGACTTAATGACAAGGAAAACATAACTTCTGTACTCACAGCAGATCTTCCTGAAGAGTAGTTGTACAAGAAGACCCTCAAGAAACCACATAGCCCATCTCCAGTATAAACATTTGAAAAATACAAACACAAAACCCTCTCTACTTCCTATCTGTGTCTTTTCTCTTCACTCAGCAGTCCTCCTGCTATCTCACCACTCCAACTGGCCACAGCTGTGCACAGCTCCCTCGCAGATGCAGGAAATTAGGCTCAGATCAGCCCTTGCACCTGACCCAGCTACCAGGGATGGACATAACTTGCTGTCCCAACTTTGCTGGGCTGCAGAGTGCCAGGGAGGGAAGTGGGGCAAGGGCTGCTGTATTATACATATGAGGTCTGGTTAGTAAATAAATATGTGTTAACCAGTTACTTTTTTGGAAGACAAGCGTGTCTAAAAGAAATAAACAAAATCTGCTGGCTTTTGGAGATCATTGCAAAGAAAATGCCCTGTAGTTCCTCAAGGAAATAAATATGCTACTAAACAGTATGAGGGAGCTCATCCACTGTGCCAGGAGGTTGATGACAAGCTGGTGAGTCAGTAAGACTTTGAACAGACTCAAGTGCTTTGACTCTGCTAATTAAAAGTATTATAGGAGTTTTATAGGAGTTTGGTTTTTTTTTAATAGGAGTTTTACTGGAGGAACAGGTCTATGCTGGGGGAAAAGATCAAAGTAACTTGTCCCTGAAAGGCAACTTGCAAATAGAGGGATATGGCTGTTGCCAAAACAAGAGATATGAGGACAATACTGATAAAATGGGGACCAGTAGCAGCTAAAGACAGATGAAAGATGGATATGGGAAACTGAGTGTTCAGCTGCTCTTTGCTGTTTGGGACTTGATTACTTATATGCATTTTCATGTCACTTTTCAGGAATATTTCCTCACATTCAGAGGTCACCAGTTCTGAAGAAGAAAGGCTCTTTCGAAGATTTAACAAGTATCCACATGCACAAGAGTAGATCTACATTACTTGGAAGAACCATTGGAGAGACAGGGAAAAAAGAGAAAAAGACACATTTAGTCCAAGATCTTGATTTGTAGATTTTTTTTAACCACTTTGCTTTAATTTTTGCATTTTAATCCTCATTGATGTTAATTTATATGGTGGAAGAAGGCCTATAACTATGAGCACTATATATCTGATTAACTTGGACTTGTGGATTTTTTTAATTACCTATGAATTCAGTCTCCTTAATAAACTGCATGATTTATAAGCAGTTGCCTACTTTAATCAGACTTTTTATAATGCATGTGACCTACTCAAACTATTGTCTTTTGGGTGCCAAAACAGGAAACAACTAGTCCTTCAATGAGACATAGACAAGCAGAGCAGGAAGTTGCCAAAAACCTTCTCTGGCTGCAAGACAGGATTAGAGTCAAGATGGTGGTGTCTTATTGTATGCATGGCAGTACGCTTGTACAAAGCAACCACAGCTGAAAGATACAATCCTACTAAAGAAAAGTAGACATATTTTTATAGTAAAAATACCCTAAAAAATGTTTTCAGTTTTCCAGCAAAAGTAAAAGGGTTAACAGATTTTACCAGTTCCTCTGTTTGCTTTCTCATAATGTTTTTATGGTATTTCCCCATAATTTTTAGTTACAAAAAATGCCACTTAAAGTGTTACACATTCTCATTTAAAGTGTTTAATCAACAGAATTCTCATGCCCAACTTGATTTATTTTTTTTCTAAATGCCCAAATTAAAACTCATTAGCTGAGTGTTCATCAACTTGCAGAAATAGGTTCAAGTAGTAAAATGTGTAAATGAAATCTTAAAATGGTTACTGGGCCTGGAAAAAATAAAGCTTAAACATAGTCCCCTTGGGTGAAATCTTGATCTTACGGAAGCAGACAAAAAACTGTAAGTGGGCCACAGCCTGTGAAAGTCCTCTGCTACCATGTGGGAGAGACAAGAGCATTGTGAAAACAGATCTGCTCACTCCTGTATTACTGTAGTTAGTTATCTAAATTATGTCAGTATATGTAAAAGCCCTACTGTACACAGCTTTGTATTAACATAAGAGACACAGTCTTCACCTGTGGTCTCTAAATCTATTAAGGCCAGCAACTGACAAAGACTATGTTAAGGGCTGGATGCCTCAGCCAAGCAGGATTGGTATTGTAGTAGCCCAGATGTTACCTGTTCCCATATGCTCTCAAGCTCTAGAAATGTAAAACCAGACAGATTATCTGAACAGGTACTGTTTATTTCAGATGCTCTCAACAGGGTCCTTTGGGAACAGGCTAGTGTTTCCACTTCAGATACATCCCGCCTGTAACAATAGGGTCCCCTAGGAAAGGGCTGCTGATAGCTTTCTTCATCCCTTCAGACAGCAACAGAAGTGGTGAAATACCACTATAGGCCAAACTGATGTTTAGCTTAAACAAATTTGCAATACTTCTCTGCTTCAGCAAGCTTCTTAATTAACAGGCTGCAGCATCATTTGCCTTTGAGGAAATGGGCAGGAAAGTAATAGTATGTGGAGGAAAGACTGAGAAGACAGATTAATCTTTAGCATAGGTCACACTATGGAGAACATTTGGAAATTGCTGTAAAGGAGACAATGCAAGTTATTAATTATGCTGAAATAAAAAAGGGATGCAATTAATTATATGCAAACCTGCAAGTGATCAAGTTCCTAAAGGAACTCCTACCTCAGGCAATTTCTTCTTCCTGAAGGTCTTGGAGCTCAATACTATTTTATAAACTAGGTGTTATTGCTTTTATCCAGGTCTCAACAATTTGACATGAAAGCACAATCAGAGGATGCTGATGTTTGCTATTGATTCACTCACTATAAACTTGGGCCTTCTGGGGTGGCTATGTTGAGAAAAAGCAAAGTGCTGTGAGTAAGAGATGCAAGCAGATTTGCTATAAAGGAATAATTCAAAGTCCCTGTGGTTAAAGACAGGATATTGTCTCCAACCACTCTCCCCTGTAAAATTCATGGTAGATCCCAGGGTGAGCTGGGATTGTTTTTGCAGACAGTTCCTAACTGACTGTTTCTTAGTCTGAATGTGTCAGAAGAAGGATAGGATAAACATATCTGACTGAGGTTGCTTCATTGTCAGCTGAACTGAGTGACAACAGAACAAAGGCCTTGGGATTTTGTCCCTTTCATCTTATAGGGACCTGGCAGCTAAAACCTGCTTATTACTATGGGAAAACACTTCTTTGAGTCTTTACAGGCTGCTGTGAAATAAGAGTTCATGGTGGTTCAGGAATCTCCATTTGTAAGAATTTGTGCTCCAGACATGCTCTATGTTGCAACGGACCAAACCAGTATTTGTTGTCATTGTTACCAACCAATTTTAATTAAGACGCACTCCCTCTGAAGAAGATTTAAAATGTCATCAAAAGCTGATGGATGTCTTCCCATAATTGACAGTTAAGATTCTTGGATTGCTGTCTGTATCTCTTGGCATTGGTATATTGCAAAAGCCACTATGATTCTAGCTCATGCTGTATTCTGTTTATGTGATAATATCAGTGTATCCACTTTCTAGTGACCTCATTGCTAGCTGTTTTCTGGGGTCCTCCTCTGTCATTTAGTTTCTTTACTTTTTGCCCTCTTTACCCTTCCTTTGCTAGAGACAAACTGCTTCCGGTTGCATACCATTATTTCTTGCTGTAACTCGAGTGTTTGCAGTGTGTGTAATTAAGGCCTCCTGTGACCAAAACTAGCAGAAAGTACCAGGAATGTTCATTACCATCGCTACCATAGCATAAGGTCTTTCAAGAAGGTGGCTGAGATGCTACCAACAGAAAACAAAATTTCTAGTCATTTTAATGAGTCAGACAGTACTTTTATCTTGGTGATTAGCATTCATTCTGAAAAATACAAGACCAGGAAAAGCTACATGGAAAATTAAGCATTCTGCTGAGCAGCTTTTCTTAAGCATTGCACTTTTCATTGGCCTTTTCAATCACATCAGTCTAAACTCTGTTTGATTACACACAAAACACAGCTTCAGAATATGTAATTTAACTGACTTTTTCCCAAAGCTTCCAAATATATTTTGCTTTTACTCAAACCAAATTTATTTTCTGAGTAATCGTAAAAAAATTCAGTAAAATTAGCAGTGTTTTCTCTCTTAGAAAGCTGGTATAGTATCAGTGATTCAACTAAAATTCTCAAAAGTATGCAAACTTTCTTGAATCATAACTAGCTTTGAGCTCACATGCACATACTCATTCATTATTTTTTATGCACCTCCTGCAGAACAGTAACAGTAAGTGGCTGAAACTATAATTTTTCTCTCTGAAGTGGTACTGAATCATTTCAGTTTCTCAGATCTTTAAAATACTTCTGTGCATTATCAGAAAAAAAAATTCCTTGTTGCTGTCATCAGCAAAAGATGCAGCACAATTCCAAGGAAGTAACTTGACCATGACATATCAATACCTAAAGAGAGAGAAATGGGCAAACATTTGCACTGCTGCTCTTGATAAATTTGCCATTAGTTCATGCTGTCACTTAACAATTAGTTAACAAACCAAAGGAGTACAGCATCTGTTAATAACATGCAAATCATTAACATACTGTATCTTAGCCCATTACCTCAACCTTTAGAACTGCTGTTACTGAAACAACATGCATTTGATGACACTATCATCACAGACTGCACCAATGGATCTTACTGAGTTGCACCGTTGTAAGAAACATGTAGCAAACAAGAAGCAATGAAAGGAAAGCAATCTATTATTTTTCTTCTAAGAAAGATCTAAGGCCTTCACTCACCCATCACTTTAAGAAATGAAGCTAGACCGTAGTAGGAATGGAGCAAGAGTATACAATATTTCTTTTGTGTGATCTCGTCCTTTCTCTTCAAATTCCAGCCTGTTTCTCTGCTAATGTCTAATAGATGCTTTGTAATCAACTTCAGCAAGTACAACCTGCTATCTACAGCCAATCATCTGTTTACAAACCTCTGTGCAGCTTATATGTTTACTTAAATGCATATAAATGTGTGCGTGCGTGTGTGTGTGTGTGTGTGTACAGGCTAGATAAGTATTTTTAATACTCCGGAAGTTTTAGACATGTTCCATCAAATACAAAGTACTAGTAGCAAGGAAAAAAATACTTTTCTCACATGTTAGATGCTGCAGATAAAATTACATTCTTATCAACCTTTCTATTCAAAACATCACATTCTTATTAACTGTTCTATACTAATGGGTGTTCCCCAGGGCTCAGTTTTGGGACAAGTCCTGTTTAACATCTTTATCAATGATCTGCATGAGGGGATTGAGTGCTCCCTCAGTAGGTTTGCAGATGACACTAAATTGGGAGACAGTGTTGATCTGCCTGAGGGTAGGAAGGCT